TTTAAGTTTAAGTTCTTATTTTGTAAGTTGTAAACTCTGAATTAATGAATACATTTGCTCTTGTCAAAAAAAAAAAAAAAAGATATAATTTGCGGTCAGAACCATTAATACAATTTTTTTTTTCATGGAGTCACCATTAATATTTGTGATTTTACATTAAAATGTGGCAGATTTACCATCAACAGAAGGATTAGGACCATCTCCATATGTATGCGTGGGGCCATGTACAAATCCAGCAGATTGCAACACTCAATGCATTGGCAAAGGTTATAGCAATGGTGGTTCTTGTGTTGGCATTGGCTCCTCAGATTTAAGTTGTTGCTGTAACAAGTGATACCAATCTTTGAGTGATAAATTTAGCAAGCTTTTGTTACACGTACTACATTATCTTTTCTTGAGTATTAATTGGTACAATGTTACTCCTATTGATCTATGAGTCTTGTTAATTTGTGTTGTGATTTCTTTATTTAAACTCACCGTTGTCATCTTCTGTATGGGTATTTGCCAAAAGAGTTATTCTATAAAATTTTATTGTTGGTCCAATTTTAGCCTGTTGTGTATTTGCTTGATTGTCGAATAATTTAGTTGGTTAAATTTTCGTGTGTCACTTTGATACTACTTATTTATGATAAAATTATTAGTGTTAGCACTAATACTAAGTTTAAATTGATTGGCATAAAAAATTGTTTCAACAATCAATAAGCTAATCAAAAAAAAATCTTGATTTGAAAATGATCTAAAAAACTAGCTAGTTACTTTGTAGAAAAAATCTTGATTTGATATTGATTTAATTTATTTGTAAAGAATATGGACTTAAATTGGTGAGCCATTATAAATGGTTATTTTATTAGAAAACGATAAACCATCCTTGGTTGTGGTAGCTAGCAGAGGCGCCCTATGAATACTGAACACAACTCCTATCAACCTTTGTGGATGTTGCACCAATCAAAATCCTTACTTGCTTCGTCCTTGATATTTTCAAATCCCGTGTCCATTGTAGACTGATAGCTATGATCTTACGTTTTCCGAGCATCCAAACTAAAGTGAGCAAATCTGTGAAGATTGTAACAGCCTTGATCAACCTACTCCTAGCCCACCGCAAACCTTTCAGGCGGCTATCACATATTAGCTAGTGCCATAGTGTGGATGATTCTATGGTTATCATTTTTCCATAAATTTAAAAAAATGAACTATTAAAGTTTAACGATTTTTGAATTATTTTTAAATGTTAATATTAATTAAAAAATTAATTTAATTATTTTCTGAAAAAAATGTAATTTAATTTTTTGACTTTAATTTTTTTAATAATTAAAAGGGAAATTGGCTTAAAATAATAATCTCAACTACTAAGGTGTGTGCAAAATAATACAACCTCAACTATTTGCTATCAACAATACCACCTTTTGTACTTCACGTGCAAATGGTACGCCGGCCACCGAAGAAGGTATCTTGAGAAATATTTTATCCATATTCATTATTACATTATTTTTTATATTAAATATTACTTTTTTCCAAAATACATATTTCTCCCATTTATATGCTTACACAGTTATACACACTATTTTGACACACACTTTTAAGAGATATTAGACTAGATAAACGGACAAAATAATTAACAATTTTTACCACCAGAATGATAAGTTGCTACGATTTAACTTTTATAGCATAATTCGTTTGTTTACATAGTCTAATAAATCACTTCCTCAAATAGCGTATTAAAAAGGTGTGTTGCGAGTATAAAAAACAGAGAAAGTATTATGTTAATAATTTCCTTACTACCCAAATATATAATGATCCTCCTTTGTTGGGCTAGTTAATTTTTGTTTTTCGAACAATTTTTTGAATCGGTTATATCAGTACAACAATGTATTTAAATATCCTATTTACCTTTTGTGACAGTAGAATTATTTTTTAGTACACAACTTAACTTCTAGCAAAGAGGTGGGTCATTATTAATTTGGGGTAGTAAGGAAATTATCAACATAAAATGTATTTTGAAAATAATAAGATTTAATATAAAAATAAAAAATATATACAATAACAAATATGGACAAAATAAAATTTAATATAAAAAATAAAAAAGATACCATCTCCGGTAGTTAGCGTACTATTTTGCACATATAGTATAAAAGGTGGTACCGTTGTTAGCAAATAGTTGAGGTTGTATTATTTTGCACACACCGTTAATAGTTGGGATTATTTCAAGCCAATTTTCCTAATTAAAACTGAATTTTCTGAATTAATTTGAAAAAAAATTCAAAATTTAGAATAATTAGTTTGAAAATATTTAAAATAAATTTCAAAAAAAAAAGAATTTTAATTAATTTTAGCATTTAAAAATAATTAAAAATCATAGATTCACAGCCATCAAATTTAAAAAATTGTGGTAAAATGACTACTGTAGAATTTTCAGCCAATCTTTCCTCGTTTTCTCCCTATACCACTCATTCTATTTTATATATACTACGGAGTACCTTTATTTTTATTTATTCTTAACATTTATTATTCTCAAAGAAGATTAGACAATTGAAAAAAAAATGTGATAAATGTGTGTATTAAAAAGTAGATATAGAAACAAAGGGAACAAAAAAGCAAGTACGGAGTAAGTGTAAAAAGGTGAAAAAAAAAAAAAAAAAAACAGAGATACTATGTGAAAAAATGTAATATTGTCGGGTACATGGGGTTTACCAAACATCCAAAAATATAATAAGGTGAAATAGGAAAGTGTAAAGAGGTTTTAGGAAAAGTCAAATGGAGTATAAATGAAGGCCAGTAGACATAAACATATTACGTAATACATGTTCCGTTTATCATTTTGAGTTTTTACATTATACTTTGTAATAATTTTGACATAATCTTATTATGTGGTAAAAAATTTCCTTATTTATAGTGATGATGGGTAACAAGACACTTATCATGATCAAAGTTATTGTGATTATCGTGTTAATGATGTGTTTATCCTTAATATAATATTGATGGACTTATATATGAGTTTGTTTCGTAATGAACTCGTCTATGTAAAATTTTAAGTGGTAAGACGTTTGCCTTTTACACTCTTCGTACACATGGCCTTGGATTTGATGTGTGTCACCACCTTTTCAATGGACAACCTAGTATTCTGCTTCCAACCCAAGCTCGTAACACGTACTCTTGAGTTTTGACTCTATTTAGATAGGAGTAATGCATGGACAATGTTGTATATCGCTTTAAAAGAGTGTTTCATGAATTTCCTTAAAATTATAGCATTTGAGAAAATGAAAATGACTCATTTGAGTACGATTTACCAAATTCAAACATTTACCAAAATAAAATCATTAACTATTTTTTTGCTTCAAAAAAAAAAAAAAAAAAACTATTTTGACTAATAAAATTCAAATATGCTATCATAAAAATAAAAAAAATAAAATCAAATACTAAAAAAATGTCTCATTTATATTTTTCTTTAAGGAAATCGGAGAGAAAAGGTTTCACTCTCCATCCCTACATAACGACATTACGCAGTCGGGCCAAGCTTTGCCCCAAAGAATTGGCCCATTTTGATTGATCCATATTAAATTTTTGGGTCGACCCAATAAGGTGATAGACTCTATTGAATCAAAACCACTTATGGGCTGACCCAACTAGTTGATTTTTTTTTTTGGAAAATTTGCCAATTACAGCAGGTAAGTACTCATTTTGCGGGTTACTACCATCAAAGTTTATTTTTGCAAATTACAACAAAAAAAGACACTCAACATTTTAAACTACAACCAAAATTCAATTTTCGGCCACTTTCACCGAAATATAGTCATTATTTCAAAAAATAATTCAAAACTAGTATTGGCTGGTGGTTATTTTTAATATTAATAAATGATTAATGACGTTATATTCTAGAGAAAGTGACTAAAAATCAAACTTTGGTTGTAATTTAAAGTGTTTGGTGATTTTTTTATTTTTTATTTTTTTTTGTAATTTACAAAAATAAACTTTGATAGTTGTAACCCGCATATCGGTTGTAATTGGTAAATTTTCCTTTTACTTTTTATATTGCATTTTTACGCTCTTTAAAAGGCATAATCTTTCATACAACTTTATCATGTGTGGATGTCTTACACAGTAAGACAAGCAAGCACATATTTGTACTAAAGTCAACTATACTTATATACCAAATTATTTTGGAACCAATATTTATGTGATTTTGGTAGTTGTTTGGTACTATGTGAGATTGTGAAATTTTTATAAATCTCACACATTAAGGAGCCTCGATCTACTCGTGTCACCCCTTCCCCTATAAACATATTACCACCACATCAATGCAAATAGAATGTCATGTTTGTTAGTTGATGCATGTTTGACTATGATACTATTCATTTCCATTATTTTGGGTTTATTATTTGTATTTACGAATGACAAATCATAAATAGTAAGCATTAGAGTAGCTCGCCAAGCTAGCTAGCATATACAAGTATGCCAAATCAAAATGAAACAACTTTAAAAACCAGAGTAAGTAATACGAAGTAGTTCTTTACAAAGGAAAACTATGGACCATAAATTACCACCGGTCATGCTCTAGTGAAAAGGCACGCAATCACCAAAATTAGAAGACAACCTCTACTAATCTACTATCATACCATGAAGGATTGAAGATTATGAACTCAAGTTTTAACTTTCCATCCTTCATCCCCAATTAAATGTCAATTTTTACAAAGTATTGTAACCTTTCGTGATTAAAGTCACTAATGCATAGGTTACGTGATTAACAATATAGTTTAGAAAATTCTGATCTTTGATTGAGAAAAAAATATGAGATGAAATGTCCCTTGGTAGGCTTGTAGGACTTGTAAACATAATATGCACAATTAACAGAAGTAATTCATCAACCAAATGTTCACAAAAAAATACGGAGTATCAAATTAGATTCACTTTATAACCGTATCTACATGTTTATTATCACACAACTACTACACAAATTACATTCAGTTTTTCATGCAACAGTAGCACAAAATCTACAATAGTAAACACATCACAATTCGAGGGCGGACATATTACAAAATATTACAAACTGCAACATACAAATGCCTCCAAAAACTGCCTATAACCGTTGATACTTACCTATAATCTCCTCCACATCAACGAGTACCAAACTAAGAGCGCAAAAACAGTTATGATTGCGATCATATTCCTTGACCCCTCTTCTTTGGATGTGACATACCTATATGTAAGGTTTTTGCAACCACCACTCCACGAGTTTCTTATTGACTTAATCACCACTCTCATAGGAGTAGAAATTGCAATGTTATGCTACTGCAAAAGAGTTTTATGAACAATAAATCGAACTACGAAGTTAACTTTGAGTAACGGTTGGAGAAGAGGACGGGCCATTTCCAGCTGGGGAGGAGGTTGGTTCAGTTTTCTGGGTCTTGTTTGACTTCTTGTTGGTTAGTTCAGGCTTCGCGCTTTGCTGTTGTGGTCGTACTTTCACTCCTCTAATCATCTGTAAATCACAATAGAAGATGTTAAGTACATGCCCATTGCCCTAATGCCGATTAGCACTAAAGCACACCACAAGTAGAGAATGGATCGGAATGTATAATTCAAGTGAGAAAAAGATAAGACAACATTACATTTTTGTCAAAAATCTAATTCAAATTATTTGTATTAGACTGTGATGAGATGCAATTGTTTTACCAACATATATACTGTGAAGATTGTGACACACTCCTTTCACCAAACATACAAGGAAAAATGGTCTCAAATAAGTTTTAGAGGTCTTTTAGAAAATATTCTACACAATAAAAATTTCATACTATCACTTAACCAAGGATTGCAAATAACCTAACAATTTCACGAGTTTGTAAATAAAAGTAAAACCAACATATCTATAATCAAATTAACTTTTGTGAATAAAATAAAACTTAATAAACAGCATCCAATGACCAAAAAAAACAACACATGACATGATTAATTAGATTAATGCATAATAAAGAGGATAATCAAACAAATTGAAGTGGAAGATGAACTAACTAGTATCTCATCCAGGTCATAACACCAAGTTTTCTCTAGTAAAAGCTAATTTTCTATTCCATAAAAGATATCAGAAATACGAGAACATTTTGATAATGCAATCAACTTTCACATTTATATAAATACTAAAATAAAAAAATCTGTACAAAGTTTTAATTTTTCATTCTAAAGGTTCTGATGTCTCACGATTAATTTGTAGAAGTATATAACAATCGAACCCAAGACATATACATGTATTACTTGTTTACAAAAAACCCAATAATTTCATATACTACGAATTATACAAATATATACAACTAATGTAGATATCAATAGAAGCTGTTCACTTTTCTACTTTTAAGGTTGCAACTTGCACCATATGATTTACCACTTGCAAGTTGCAGGAAGAAAGACAGACAATAATAAGGGATAAAGAGAAACACAAACAAAAGATTTGCCACATTAAACATCTGAATAGATTACATAGTACTCCATACTACGTATACGCAAGTTGGTAGGAAGGAGAAAGGAAAAGATAAACATACATATTTGCCACATTTTACATCTGAATAGATAACAATGAAGTCCCCTTCTTGTAGTCCATTCGATCTAACAAAATCCCCTGAATAGATAAAATAGACACCGATCATTTCAAAGAATTACGACAAATAATATTGCTAAATATTGTTCTTAAAACTAAATCAGAACAATTGATCATATGTTGATACGTACCTGTATTCTCAAGGAGATACATCCTGCTTTTGTTGTTAGGCCAGAACCTGACGCTCCAAAAAGAAACACAAAAGACCATTTTTTTGTCAGATTTAACCATGCATCGAAGATAAGGAATACTTGAACAATGCTTTTAAATTAACAAGACATTATTTTGTTAAACATTATGTAATTATACCTGTAACGCATGTTCCACACACGAGAGGTACCAATGTCTTCCATGGCGATAGGGATTCCTTCCCTTGCCTCCAGTTCTGGCAAATGAGTCTCTGCTTCCTTCTGATTTAATTAAGAACAAACCAAATTAAATTATGTTATTAATGAGATTATTGCTCATAAGCAAGAACAAAATAAAACACATATAATCAAGCGATATCATCAAAAAATTATAATTAGTACCTTGGGCAAGACGATCCTCCCTAAATTACCAACATCACTTTGCTTCAAAACTTTTTGTAGAAGAAATCTCAAATTCTTCTCTGTTTTCCATCCCTATTATTCAAAATTAACTCATTAATTAATAATAATATAAATTGAATTAAATAAATCTTCATTTCCCATGAAAATAAAGTTAGTTTTCAACTTTCTAGGGAAAACAATAATCAACAATAAAACAACAATACTTGTAATATTCCATACAAACCAAATTGCACCGCAAGAAATTTAAACAATCCAATCACAATTCTAAAAAAACAAGAGTAAATAAATAAAAACCTAAATTCACTCACCTGTTTTTTCTCAATCCCAACTTGCTTTTGATAGCCGTTCGCAGCCCTCTCCATGGGCGGCTGCGGCGGCATCATCTGCCCAACCACAGGACCGGGGTGGTTCACTTGTTGCGGCGCCACGACTTGTGGAGGAGGTGGAGGTGGCCAGTATACCCAATTCCCATGTGGAGCAACAACACCACAATTTCCATTCCCTACAACAGCGGCTGCATGCTGCTGTTCAGCCATTTGACTCATCATCATTTGTTGACTAACATTTCCATTATTATTACTATTATTCTGATGTTGATGATAATTATTATGATGAGAATTCCTATGATGATGAGTAAGGAACCTCCTCTGCCTCGCCATCCTCTTCTTCCGAGCTTCCTTTGTCGCCGAGGACCCGAGCCTCACTAGTCCCTCGGTTGGACCAGGGTGATAATAGAACCCTGGGTAGGGAGGAGGGTTTGCATACCCTCCAAACTGAGCTGCTACATCGGGGTAACCCCCGTAATGGGGACTCATCCCGTATCGCATCGGGGTGGGTCCCCATGCGTGGTAATCCGACATGTATGCCGCCATCGGACTACCACCCCCATACGGATCCCCACCCATGTACCCAACCGTGGGTGGGAACCCCGGGGGAGGTGGTGGGGCCGTCATCGGGACCATCACGGGGGTGTCACTCACATACGGTTGAGAAGGTGGTGGACCCGGTAGCCACGTCGTTGGGCTAAAGCACTGCGACTCAGGTGCAGAACTAGGGTTTGCCGCACTAGTATCACTAGGAGTTGTAGTAGCAGTATCATTCTTGTGATCTTGAATTGAATAACTTTGGCGATTAATCATACTACCACTAACATTATTAACAACATGAAACTCATTATCTTCACCACTCATCATCATTTTCTTATTTTGTAAATGATGATTTTGCACCCATTGAAGTATCAACTTAAGCAACTGCTTCATCCCTTCTTTCCCACCACCTAATCTCTTAGCAGCGTTCTCAATCGTCGACTTCTTGATCTTAATATTCCTCAAATCCTCGGCCGATATCGCCTCCTTATTACTCTTCAACCACTCAAAGAACACCAAGGCAAGATCATCGGGCGACGAATCCGGTTCACCATCTCCACACCCACCACTATTTTGACCAACAATTCCATCAACAACACCACTAGCATCATTATTAATACTAGTATTAGTACTCTCACCATCTTTTTGTTGTTGCATGAACTGCTCAAACACTCTTTCTTCCTCATCTTCCTCAACTAGATGACGGTTCACCAACATTTCCTCCGGTTGCAAAAACTGATGCTCGTCGCCGTTGTTGTCATCAAACAACGGCGAAGGATCCCAGCAAATATCAGTATTCTCAAGCATATCTATGCACCCAAAATTCTGCATCATATCCATGCAATGATCAACATCATCCATCAAAATCTCCCTCTCCTCCACCCTCTGTGCCTGATCATGATCCGTAACCGGAGCAGCCGTAGACGAAGCCGGTTCCGGGTCTTGATCCGCATCGGACTTCAACACCGCCCACGACGCCGCCCCGGACGACGCCGTAGAAGCGGAAGAAGAAGTCGTTGCGGTGGAACACACCCCAAAAGGCTTTGCCGCCGTAGCGGCAGGAGTCGAGGATGATGAGGAAGATGAGGACATGCAAGGAAATTCAGGAAGTGGTGGAAAATCAGCATAGAACAAGGATGATGGATCGCTAACATCCACATCTAAAAAATCATTCTCATTGCTCATATTATCATTATTGTTACTCTCAAAAGGGTGTGAGGCGGTTTCAAACCAGATCTCTTCCTCACTATCCTTCATACCTTCCCCGCCAACGACGTCAAAATTTTGTAGATCTTCACCATGCAATACCATTTCTTTCATCTCCTTCTTCAACCCCATCAAATCCTTTCCAAAAAAAAAAAAAATTATTTATTCAAAAAAAAAAAAAAAAAAAAAAACCTTTAGGTGGGTAAGTTGGTCAAGGATAAAGAAAAAGAGTGAATTTGTACAGTACGGATAATGAAAATGATTGAGAAAATTGGATAAATATTTTTGGTAGTGAATTAAGGAAGAAAATAAAAAAAAGAAGAGAGAATTTTTATTTTTTAAGAGAGAGAAAATGCAACATAAACCATCTGGATAATACCAAGTTGCAAATCATTTCATGAAAGTGACCTTATAGTATAAATTAAAATGGTTTCTTTTATTACCACTTGCAAAATCTAACAACAAAATTTATAGGGAATCTAGGAAGAGGAGGTAAGGATATATATATTCCTTATCACCTACTTCTGCTAATAAAAAAAAAAAACAGAATCAAATCTAATGGTCTGATTAATCTATGATTAAAGGTACAACTTTTGGTAATTATTAAATTAATCACACGATTAGTGTGGGGTTAATTAAGATTAGTGAAGGTGACGATGATAACAAAGGAAGATGAAGATGGAAGAAAAGAAGAAATTAAATTAAAGAGAGTGGGAAAATGAAGAGAGAAAACCACTCACCGAAACTTAAAAAACCGTTCGGTAATTGAAATGTTTCATACTTTCATTTTTGTTTTTGGGTCTATTTATTTTTCTTTCAATTTTTTTTTTTTTATTAAGAATTTTTTTATTTGTTTTTTGATTTTTATTTTTTCCTTATTTTGGAGTTTTGTGAATTTTGTTGGGACTTGAGAGTGAAAGCTAGAGGAGTTTTTTTTTACTCCATTCTAAAATTTCTTACAACTTTTTTTTAATGGTCTTTATGTTATAATCATTCCTTAATGGGATGAATTTAAACCTACAAAATAGATATTGAAATGAATCTGATCCCGTTCACGTTATAATGTATAAAACTATGTTTTTCTTTTTATAAGTTTGATTAATTTTTTACCTTATGTGGTTGTTGTGGTATTACTGGTATATATAAATTGTGCATCAGTGATTTCAGGCGGATTTTACAAAGTTGTTGATAGCGCTAATTAGAACTCATATTCCAAAAAAAATCTAACTAGAGTGGAGATAGAGTAACGCACTTTTGGAGTAAGTTTGATTTACCTTATATGATTGTTTTGGTATTAATAAAATTACACAGCAGTGATTTTAGGCAAATTTTACAAAATTGTTGGTTATTACATCTAATTAGAACTTATTATTCAAAAGGTCTTAGAGTGGAGATAGAGTTAACTTTTGGGGTAGAATTTTTTATTTATTTTTTTAATTCATTTCTAATAAACACAAGAACAAACTTTTACCAGGAACATATAGTCTAACTGTGCAAAATAATATAATGCATCTAAAAATTTATATTGAAATGAATCCGATTCATGAACTCTGACAAAAGCCAATAGGTAAAAAAAATAACCTCAAAAATATGCAACGTTTGATTTACTTTACCTTGAATAATTGTTGTGGTATCTATAGAATCCGCAATAGCCTTTTCTGTCGACTTTATTTACGAAGTTGTTGGTAATGTCTAACTAGAACTTTACTAGAGTGTAGATAGAATTGACATTTGGGGATAGAAAATTGTTTCATATATTTATTTGTAACAAAAGAAACAGAAAAATGCATTTACTAAACATTGGAATTATATTGAATAGTCTAGCAACCTTGTAAAATAAAAATTATACATTTAAAAATTTACATTGAAATGAACTGAATTTATAAAGTTTGACAACAGCCAGTAGTTGAAAATTAAAAATTAAACAACCTCAGAAACATGTGAAGTTTGACTTATTGTTTACCGTATTTGGTTGTTGTGGTTTCCATATAATGCGCAGCAGTGATTTCTGGCGGATTTAACGGGGCTGCCGAAAACGTCTAATTAAATAGAACTTTAACTTAAAAAAAACTAATTAAAGAAAGTTAACTTTTGGGGTGAAAATCATGTTATTTGTTTACTTAGCTTATTATAACCAATGCAAAAACAAAATACTTTTATCAAACATTGGAATATTTATAGTCTAACCCGGAAAAATAAATTACATTTAAAAAAAGCCAGTAGTTAAAAAAAAAACAAAACAAAAAAAAAAAACTCAAAGCATGTAAAGTTTGACTTATAGTTTACCTTACATGATTGTTATGGTATCCATAAAATGCGCATAAGTGATTTCTAGCGGATTTAATGGGGTTGCTCGTTCGTAACATTTAAGTAGAACTATATGAACAAAAAAAATTCTAATTAAATAGAGCAAAGATAGTTAACTTTTCGGGTAGAAATTGTTTTATATATTTATTTGAAACAAATGCAATAACAAAATACTTTCACTAGACATTGGAATATATAATAATCTAACATTGCAAGATAAAATATATCTAATATTTTTATTGAAATGAATGTGATTTATGAACTTTGACAAAAGCCAATGGTGATAGAACAACGTCAAGAACATGTGAAGTTTGAATTATGGTTACCTTATATGGTTGGTGTGGTATCTATAAATTGCACAACGTTGATTATTTCAGGCGGATTTTACGAAGTTGTTGGTGATGCCTAACTAAAGATAGAGATTGATTTAAGATCATCTGGGAACCTAATACTAAAATGAGAACAAGAACCAATATCAACCCGTAGATCATCAATTATCGGATCGCCGAGATGTTCCCTATGTATAATATGTAATGGCAATTTCATAATGTTACAGCTTCTCGAACGGAAATCCAATTTCTTTACTTTTAAATCGATTTGATTTACGTTTATTACTAATTTCTGCTACACTTTATGAATCAAATGAAAGAAAATCAATGCTAGCCATGTTCAGACCTATTTCGGTTTGACCTTATATCACAAATTTAGTTGTTAACTTCATTGATAAGGGAATATATGTAAACAAATATTTTTAGGGGTATAAATGTTAGCACACTATTTCTTAAGATTCCAAAAGAAGAGGCAATCAACATTAATGTGTGCAAATAAGTATATGAACATTTTAGAGGGTATAATTGTCCAAACACTATTCATGAGAGTTTTCTCAAATTTTTCAAAAGTAGGGATGCTACTCCGTACAAGCTAAATATTCTTAATGAGTTATGTTCATCTAAACTTAAACAAAAACAATTATAACGATTATAAATATACGTCTACGTTTATGAAACACAATTGCATCCGGATTTTTATTTCAACATAATCCAATGACAGAAATTGGTTCTTCGCTCTCATTTATTCACTAGGTTCTCCTTATTAACAGAGTTAATTTTTTATACTATGATGAGTATCCGTCTTCAATAGGTTGTAACTTTTGGTAACCTGTTTAATAGGCTAAGTGTGACCCGTGTCATTATTTGGTTGGCTACCTTTAAAAAAATTTACAATTTAATTTATTTCAAGAAATAATTTTAATTTTTAAATAACATAATAACCCTTAATTTACCTTATTTAATCCAAGTTAAGGGCCAAATTGACCCCTAACCTAATTCGAACAATTTTCTCAACATGCAAATTGAACGATTTTTAAGCATATAAACTTAGGAATTAATTATGATATTTTTTACAAATTTGATTCTAAAGGGATAAAGTAACCCTCGAAACCTTAACTGACCAAATTTATTGAATAAGTTTAATCGAGGGTTAATAGGTTGGTTAAAATTAAAATTAATTTTTAGTACATTAAATTTTTAAAAATTAAATAAAAAATCCTAACCAATCAACATAGTGATATGTGTCACACTTAACTTGCTGACCAGTTTACCAAAAGGTCACAAAATGTTTAAGCAAAATCCCCCCCCCCCCAACACCAAAGGTTGTACTTCCTCTGTTTCTTTATACTTTATACTTGACACATTACTTTATTCACGTTTGTCAATATACAAATTTAACCATTTATATCTTTAATTACCGATAACCAAAAATTATAAAAATTTGATATTTTGAAAATATATATCGTGACGAATTTAACATGATCTCATATGACTATATTTTTCATTACATATAAATCAGAAAGTATAGTCAAAGGGAAGTGTGTGAATAATGCTAAAGTCAAAACGTGTCAACTAATAAAGAAAAACGGAGGTAGTATTGCAATAGAATAATTAAAAGGTCGTCTATTTATGGTAAATTAGCCAAAGGTCATATTATTATAACTTTTTCGAATAAAAACAATATTCCTAAATATTTACATTGAATATGTAATATTATGTTTGTTTTTCTAATATGATATTTTTGTAAAAGAGATACGAAAAAATGGTGGATATGTGTAAGAAAAAAATGAATAAAGTAAGAGATATTAAGTGAAAATGTATAATTATTATGGCGTAAAAAGGATAGACTAAAAATAGAATAGGGCCAATTGAGTTGAAAAAAACCAGATTAATTAAAATGGAAAGTGCGTAGAACCAAAATGAACCAAGGAAGTATAAACATACTTAGATAGTTAGATTTATGAACTCTAACAAATGTCAATTACTCTTATATTGTGAAAAAAATAACCTCAAAAACATGAAAAGTTTGATTTATTGTTTATTTTATATGGTTGTTGCGGTATCGGCCATAAATTGCAAAATAGTGATTTCAAGCGGATTTTATGAAATTGTTGGTAACGTTTACAATAACTTATACTCCCTTTGTTCCAAAATATTTAATAATTGACATATTTGACTTCTTTTTTTTTCTCAATTTTGACCATTTTTTATATTATATGAAGTATAAAATAATATTTTAATAAAAATTTGATATTCTAACAAAATAAATAAGATAAATCCAACAACAACTTATATGTACAAGTACTTCGATCGGTTATTGCTGAGTCCACAACCCTTCGTTATGTTCTTCTTATGGTTCAGACCCATAAAATTTCAAAAGTGTTTATTAAAGGGGATAATGTACTTAATATTTTGCAGGGGAAGGTACAATTATGCCCTTGGAAAATTTAGTTAGCGATGGAAGACGTTAATGAGCTTTTTCGAAATTTTATCTTTGTTGATTCCTAGCATATTTACAGAGAGGGAATTAAAGTAGCAAACTACATTGCGTCGTTGGGTCATTTTATATGCAAGCTCGATCACTAGGCTAGATATTATTCAATAGTAAATTTTCAATTATTTAATTCATTGTGATATGTTAGGATGTAGTTTTGTCAGGATAAAGAATCTCCCAATTTCTTGTGTATCTTTTCTAAAAAAAAATAAAAATAAAATAAAATGGTGCATATTTTTATATGCAAGATTTTCAAGACATATACATTTGATCATTAAATATTATAAAACTATATAATGAGACAGATTGAACAATAAATTTGACCTTTTGATTGGAAATGGGCCTAGCACGAGGGCTTATTAGGCACAGTACAAAGATGGTCTGAGCTGACATGAGCTTGTCATAAGTATGACACAACATGAGAGGCATGTATATATAGTCGTAGGCCATAGGTCGTGCATGAGCTTTATTTCAAATTTGGTATGAACACGACACGTGCACGATGGGCCGCCCCGTGTTCTGAACAACTTATTTTTAACCAATTACTAAAAAGTATGAGATAACTCTTATGAATAGTGCTTGGACAATTATACCTTCTAAAATGATATTTACTTAATTGCCCCCATTAATGTTAATTAACTTTTTTTAAAACTTTTACGAATATTGTGCGGACATTTATACCCCTAAAAATGTTTGTTTATATATTTTCTCTCATTAATGCTACTAACAACTAAAGTTGTAATGTAAGGCCAAATCGAAAAAGCTTCTCGAATATTGCTAGATGTGGCATGCGCATCGCGCACGTTAGCTACCTAGCAATATATAAAATATTAGGTGGCCCACAGGCATAACACGACACATGGATCAAATTATGAACAAACTCCATGTTCGGTTTGAGAAGTGTGGAGAACGGTTCAAGAAGGCTAAGGGGGTGCATAGCTTTGGAGTTAAGCTATGGATTGATTGCTTGGTGCAAAGCAACAATGAAAACCAGGAGCTGACTTCAAATGAGAATATCTCAAGATCTAGAAATGATATTGAGATGATTCAAGTTGGAGGTGATAGCTTGTCTCAAGATCTTTCTAACGACTGGTCATAATCTTGATTTGGTCAACAATCGAGGGAGTTATGGCCGTTATACAAAGACTTGTCTGCGTAGTGCGGGAGTTCGATCGAACTTATGTTTGAAGAAAATAGAGCTGGTGCTATTGACTCGAGAGTTCGACCCAACCTCTTGGAGGTTCGACCGAATCACCCCTGGTTCAACCGAACTCAGGGTAGGTTTGTTCGAACCAGCTGCCTCTATTCCAGTGCTGCGATTTCTTTTATTTCGCTCGGGATGTAATCTTAGCCGTTGGTCTTCCTTGTAATCTTGCACTATATATACTCATGTTTTGTCATATGAAGGGAAAGATGTAGAGAAAGAAAGCCTCATGTA